TAGTGGATCCCCCGGACTGCTGGAACTCCGTTGCTGTCTGTTTGCCCTGGTGATATCCAGCGGCGATCAGGGCCGGTCCCTGGAGATGCCCGAAAAAAAAGTAAGCTCCTCCTCCCGCGGCAGAAAACATCCTTCGGTTTATGATGATTTCTCTCGGAAGTCCCCTTTTCAATGTCACGAACGGGTGGGGCAATCAAGAAAACCTCATAAATGCCGGCCAACCCATTGGGACTACATAGACTGGAGGTCTCAGACATAACTGGATAAGAAGGTCGTCGTTGGTGGAGACGGCGGACGCAACGCCAACGATGACGCCGCCCATAAATTCAAGCTTGTTCGCCTTGGGCCTCGGATAAGGAACGAGGATGCACATTAACTCACTGGATTCGAACGCCAGAGACACCATACACCGTAACACCGCGCATACTGGTGGCCGCGCCGCAGTATTTCGGGCAATAGCAGCCTGTTTATGGCGTGGAACCGTCGGAGCTGCAGCGATTGGATGCGGCTGGAGTGCAAGGAATGCACGGTGCGCAGCCGGCGGAGCCAGTACCTCAAAGGCATGCTGGACTTGATCAGCCTGGAGCGGAAAGGCTCTAAGTGCCGAACCAGAACGTCGCAGCGCGGTAGGCAGAAGAAGCTCGCGATCAGGTCTTTTGACGGACGAGAGCTGTACGTTGGGCTTCGATTCGGGTACCTGGAGTGGGGCCGAAGGTTCGAAAGGAAAATAGCGCTGGGGCAGGCAGCGTGTGGGTTTTACTGGCCGGAGGATGTCAAGGTAGATCTATGAATAATTATTTATCTGGAACGGCTGAAAGATATTACAACAAGCAAGTTGAAGCTTGGTGGTCACAATTGCCTACTCTACAGTACGTCATGGATCGGATGCTCGACGCGTTCAGGACGAACATCACGCCCGCTCAAGCCATACAGCTCTTCACGGCCTCGAAGGATCCGAAGCGATCGTGGCCGGAGCACTACATGTACTTAATGGCTGTCTCGGAGGCCTGTGGAGGTGGAGCATACTACCTGGTGCTCTACAACATCGTTCAGTATGCGTCCATGGACCTGTAGACGGTACTGATGGCCAAGGTGAATGGGTCGAGGCAACACTACCTCCAGCAAGCAGAGGAGCTTGCCCATTTTGCGCAGGCTTGGGGGCTAAATACAGGAAAGCGCAGGGATCTCGGGAGGGAGATCGTCAACACCGTCTTAGGGAACCGCGTGAAAGAAACAAGGAGGTGTCATGAGTGCATGGTCATAGCACCTGCACCTTTTTGCTACAAAACATTTTAAACCCAGACGACCCTTACAACTGATTTTACGTCCTCGTCAAGTTTTGAGTAACGCAGCTGGAAATGACCACCTGGACACTGTCAAGTTCGTGATACGACACGTCGTCAAACAAAAGCACTGGGAGACCAATCGAAATTCAGACGCCTTGGCCCGTGCAGCTTCGGGTGAGCACACTGTCGTGGTGGAGTATTTGCTAAGTTTTGGTGGTTCTATGTGGGATCTGGGATATGCATTTGTTGCGACGATCGATAAGAAGAACTACGCCTCGGATCGGATTTGGAAGCTTGACATCGATGCAATCACCGATAAAGAAGTATTGCTTCGGCTGGCATGTCAAGATGGCTCCACAAACGCCATCAAATATTTGTACGAGAAGGGACAGCATAACGCTAGGTTAATCAGAGAGGAATTCATTTGCTCAATGGAACGGGATATACTGACACGATGGCATTTCTGCTCAACACCGATTGTGTGTCGTCCCCTTCGTCAGACCCCTCGATAATACTATTGCAATAGAACTGCTGCATCACAAGAAAAAAAGTAGCTGTTATCAACGTGAAGGAACGCAAATTAAGTTATTGTCCGTAATGAAAATGTATTGCCATTACCCAGAGCTCACAGCAAGATCAATTCACTGAGCATGAACCACCTTGGCAACGGTGGCTGCTTTCCAAAAGCGCCTATTCAGCTTCAAAACCAGCACGGTCTTTAGGTGCATCGGGAGCATACCGTGGTGATGAAGTGACAGCGTATGCTTCGCGATGCTGAAAAGCCTCTCCACGGCATTGGATGTCGGCGGGATGTACTCGACCTTGCGAAATTTCTTTCGGGCCGTGCGCTGCTTCTTTCGCGCTTCCAGCACCTGGTCCGCGAATCCTTAGGGTCGTGCAGCTCCCGCGTCTTCACTGCCTGTGTCCGCTGCTGGCATCGTCTCGAACGGTAGCAGCATCAGCTCCTGCTCGCCCGTCAGCTCGTTGTCCTTTCCTGCCAACGTCAGC